CAAGATTGAGATCACCTGGGGAAATGGCACAGTTTGTGATTATGGACCATACCAAAGCTAACTAACCACACAGAGGTTCTTCCAGCATTACTATTTTTAACTTGAATATTAAGGAAGTTACTGCATCTTCCTTACTTAGGGTTAGTAATTAGGTATGGTCACTGGGTACATTAAATTTTAATTCCAATTTAGTCTTAAAAATTGATGTGGAGCTGATGGAGCTAGTTTAAATGCGTGAAGATCAAGTACAGCAGGTTAATTTTTATGACCAGCAGAGATAAGAGGAGACCTAAACTAGCACCAATGGAGCAGGAAGTAAAACAGGAGCTTCCTTCTCAGTGAAGTGAGGTACAGAGGGTGGGGGTGTCCTGGAGAAAGGATACGGATTGTACAGTAAAGGATCCTCTGACATTCTATGCAACTCTTGGATTCAGAACTTTCTATTTAACTCCAAATATTATTGACTATTAAGTAGGCGGTGATTTATTCAGAACTCTTAATTACGCTACAGAGAAAGAGAATTAATCCTCTCTACTCTTCTCTACAACCATCAACTAATATTTAAGGGAGCAACCATGTACATTTATTATAAAAGCAAAAGAGATAAAAAAAGACAAAAATAAAGATCTGCAGTTCCATCATTTGGGGATAACTGCTTCTGAGCACCTAAGTGTATACTTGAGAGGTCTTTTGGTGTATACACTTACACACACTTAAATAAAAACAGGATGCAATAGTGATAACTCTTTTATAAAAACCTTTTTGGTACTTAATAATACCTGTATGAGTTTATTTTCATGTAATTTAAATACACAGCCTACTGTACTTTTGCTTGACTGGACAATAATCTACTTAGTCAATCACCTATAATCAGACATATAAGCTGTTTTTCCCAAATTACCAATTATACCATAAATGATAATGCCAAAAGAATATCACTTGGCCCTCAAATTCAATGTGCTCTTGCTTGAGAATGAGCTGGGAAAGATGCAGAAGAAAACATTTTGTCCACACAGTCTCCCTAAGCTTGACCCATTTTGTAGTTTTGTCTGGCTCAGAGAACAGCCAGTGGGGATGCAGGTTGCAGAGGGATGCATTGTAATGCTGTGGGAATATCAAACAATTCAGCTAGAACTGACACCACAATGAGCTGCCCACTGTGGATGCCAAGCGTTCTCACTGCTCTGCTGAGAAGGACCTGCAAAGTCCCAGAGGGACTTTGCCTTCTGCTTAATATGTCAAAGGCAGCTCATGCTTGGGTTTGGATTAACATGTGTTCTTGATGGTGTGTTTTTCTGTTAATTCTGGTTTTAAAATTCATCACTTATTTTCAATAGCATCATCCCTGCAGTAGGTTGGTAAGGTGGGTTAAAAAAATTTAGTAACCAAAGAGGCCTCTGAGTTTAAGGTTTTAGTTTCTCTGGTTTAGTCACTTACAGAATTATTTGTTCATGCAGCGTTTGTATATCACTTTTCTGATCTTTTTTACTATGTGAAATTTCCTGGCAATTTCCCAAGTTCTGGCTTCTCACTGCCTATGCAGCTATCAACTCCATAGCAATAAAGCAAATAAACTTCTGAAAGGCTGCCCAACATTTGAATAAGGCAAACACCAGCTTTTTGAACTGCTAAACTGAATTGGACCCATTAATTTAAGGGGGCAATATCTGTTCTATTTTATTAATTCTATTAAAACTACTCACAGGGGGGAAAGAGGTATTCTTAAACTTAGAGAATCAAGATAATTTACTGTTTGCTGGGTTCTGATGTGCCTGTGTCTTCGTGGCACACATAAGCATCATTAGATAGTCACTTTTGAGGTAGCATATTTGCATTCATTCTGTCACATGCAAATTCAATACAACAAATATTTATTGCATCTTTACTCTGTACCAGTCTTTCTTTGTCTGCAGAGTCTGCAGAGACAGAGGAGCAAGACATAGTCCTGTCTTCAAGGATTTCAAAGTTTGAAGTGTCTGCTTTTAAGGGACACACATACACATATACCCACAATATAACTATAGAATACAAAATATAATTATGTCTGAGATAAGTGGGAATGGATGCCTCGGGCATCCAGAGGGAACAATTCACTGGCTGGAGGTTGGAGGAGGTTTCTGAGAGAAAGTGATACCTGACTGAGGTCAGGATGGAGGAGAAGTGGGGGACAGGTATTAGAGGCTAAGGAAAGCCTCACAACAGCATCATGTGTGTTAAAACACAGGGTATGGCAGACAGTGGCAAATGATTTGCTGAAGCTGTTGCTAAAGATGCATATGAACCAAGATGTGGCTGGAGAAGCTGATTAAGGTTAAATCTATAATGAACTTTGGTCACTAGAGAACTTAGGTTTTGTTCTATAGAAATGGGAACCTTGAAGTCAGGTGGGAAGGGGGGATGACGTGATCAGAACGGTATTTGAGAAGACTAATCCCTGGCAGCAGTAAGGAGGTAGGAAAATCACTTAGGAGGTCATTCCCATCTTCCAGGAGGGAGACAGGGAGACTTGATCCAGGGAATAAAAGTAAGTAGGAACTAAGCTGGTAGTACTTTCAAACATACCTGTTTGGGTTCAGAAATACTTATTTTGGGAAAAAACTGGAAGGACAAGCACACACGGGAGATAGGGCTGTAGATGCTGGCTCTAGGTGGCAGCCTATGAAATTGTCAGTCTTTCTCAGGGATTATTATTTAATTATCAAAATGCTTTAGTTCCTCAAAACATTCTATAAAATCAGGAATGTGTGCAGACCACCAGCATTATTATGCTATACACAATTAAATGCTGAAAAGCCTATAACACACTTTCAAATAGCTTTAAGGCAAACAGGAAAATAATTCTATATTAAATTTCCCAGATTTCCCATATTCCAACAGGTTGAATGTATTGGGGATAAACTATACCTCTCAAGTTTTCTCGGCACTTTCTTTGTACCTCTTTAAAGCACACACCACATACAGCAACTTGGAAGGAAGCAACTTTGTGGATCTTTGATCTCTTTCTGGTCATCATAAATGTTTTCAAAGGGAGAAACTATTTTTGGTTCATCTTCAGGTTCCCCAAAGTGCTTGGCACACAGTAGGGACTTAGTATTGAAGGAAGGGGAGACCAAGGAAGGAGAAAAGAAAGGAAGGAAGGAAGGGAGGGAGGGAGGGAGAGAGGGAGGGAGAAAGGAAGGAAAATATGGCTAATTGTGGAGTGAGGAGTTTGGGACAACAATGACTGAGGGCAGGTAGGAAAAACTAAATAGGGATCAGCTAATGAACAGCTCACCATGTTGAGGAAATACAGAGATGCTCCTGATTAATCAGAAGCACTTTCAGTAAGTTCAAAGAAAAGTGACTAACCATTCCACGGCAGGTTAGCTAGGAAGAAAAAATGTCCCAATCTGGAACAAAGTCATATCACTGGTTAGAAAGAGTTTTTGAATAATTATTTTTAAATAAACTCCTGGCCAAGAGGCGCGTTCATCTGTCTGTTGTTGTTTCTTCATTGCTTTAGAAGCTGAGATTTCGGGCCCTGGCACCAGCCTAGCTGAGCTTGAGCCATGGGTCTCTCACTTGGTGCAAGTTCTTTAAACTCTGTGCCTCACTTTTTGCGTCTATAAAGTTAGAGTATTCATAGTGCTAACTCTTAAAGTTGGGGTGGGAAGTAAATGACTTACTGGATATGAAGCTCTTAGAACTGTGCCTTGTGTGACAGTTCTAAGTAATAATGTTAGTTCTGGTAATAATGTTAGCTTTTTCACTCAGTACGTTTGCTGTATTTAGCATTCCCCACGTGTCAGGTACATTCAAGATCCTGGGAATAAAATGTGATGATACTACCCATCCTCAAGAAGCCGATGGTCTATTGGGGATAACAAGTGGGAATAAAGATTATAGGCCAACATGACAAGTGCTGTGATACAGTTTTATACACACTATACACTTTTGAGAGAGACGGGTCAGGAGGGAGGGCTGAGCTGCATTTGGTCACCTACACAACATGGTAAAGTCCACCTGGCTTCATCCAGCCTCCACTCTCTTAAATTCCCTGTTTTCTTTTCCAGCACAGACACACTACCTTTGTCTGCATCTTCAAGATGGGCAGAGAACCCCAACTGTCTCTAGATCTCTGTTTAAAAAGCATATTTGGGTGATTTTCCTCTGGCTTCCTTGAATGAGTAAATAGATGAGTGGGTATCTGGGGTGTGTGGTTAGGGACATGTTCCCCCTTGGCCAATAGGAATAGGAAGGAGGCACAGGGAAGGAGGAAGAGAAGACTTTCTGGGTAAGAACAGTCACAGATCAGACCCAACTTTTGGTTAAATAAACAGAGGCACCTCAGGGCCTCCGTGAAGATGCTGGGTGAGGACAAGGAGGAGAGGAAAGGTGGAAACAGGCTGGAGTGGGGTTCTGGGGCTCTTTTGAGGTATGTATGATGGGGCGGGGGCTAGGGATTGCAGAAAGAGGGGATAATATAGTGGGTTTTATACTTCTTTACTTTGACTTTAGCCACCTGATGCCCCATCAGTCAATAACTCAAATGAGAAAGGCCACAGTAAAATGCTGGCATTTAGAAAGTTTGTTTTTTCATCTCTTCTTTTTTTCAGAGTCCATTGCTCTATTGAGGAGACCCTGCTAGTAAAGAGATTGCTGAGGAGAAACTTGGAAACACTTTGAGTGGCAATGGATTTGGGGAAGCTATTTGTTCTTTCTGTTGCCAGCCCTTAGTTTTTTATAAATAAGATGTTACCACTAATGCAATGTTCTGTTTGTAAAATACCTCATTGGCATGGTTCATTTGATTTTCACATCCACCCTGTAAGGTAGGCCCTGTGGATGAGCCTTATGGTTATTTTTATATAGCAGCTTATGGCACAGCACTTAGATGCTGACCAGTGAGGTGAAGCTTGTCCACAGGTGAGGAGCAGGTCCCAGATTTCAGCCAGGTGTCCTGACCTCAGCAGCTAGCTTCTGTTCCTGGGCCATAGCAGGCAGTGAGCCAGACAGCTTACCCCCTCTCTTTCTTCCACAGAAAGAAAACTTGGGTAGATCCTCTTCACAGATGGGATAGGAGTAACTCAAAATGGACAGGCCTTCACTGAAGAGACTTACATCGAGAAACAACTCTTTGATGTCCTCTCCTAAAGGGAAAGAGAAGATCAGCTTTGCTCTCAGTGTGGGTTTTGCTGCATTCAAAATTTAAAAAGTATGAACCCTGAGAGCTTTTATTTCCAGAAGTCTGTCCTATCTAGAGAACAGTTTTCTTTTTTTCTTGGCAAAACAGCATTGCCACAGAGCATTATGGTACCAGCCTGGGTATAAGATAAGGCCCTTTCACAAACATTAACTGCTTGGAGCAACAGCGTTTATCTGTCCCCCTGCCCTGATGCATAGCCCCTTAATGTGATGGCTGCTGGTCTGGTTTCCACCACTTTTCAGCAACATAGTATTAGATGCCTCCTGATAGCTCTGGAGTGCAGGCAAGCTTGCATAACCCCACTGTTGCTAGGCAGATACTGTAGCATAGTTACCCAGGACACTGCAGGGCGCTCTGCAGTTTTGGTTTCCAATTCTTTCTGAAACTCTTTTTCTATTCTTCCCTTTTGTGTTCTGCTCACTCCTCATTCCATTCTGTGTTTCTCTCTTTCTTTCCAAAGTTTTGAGCTGCTGCTATGGAGTCCAGATATTGTGCAAAGTTTTGGGGACACAAAGACGCGTGAGAGTTCTTGGACTCTGGGAATGTTCCCTCCATTTCTGTGGAATGATTCCACATGCTAAGTTCATGGAATCCTTCTGCTCTGGTTTTGATAAAACTCTTTTAGAAAGGAACTACTTTAGTAGTTATAGCAATATAATGACTAATTATAATAGCATGACCATATAAATATATACAATCAGATAGCATTCTGGTTCATTGCTTGGGGTGTGTCAAGGTTTAAGAATTTATATTAGCTCTTTGGGAAATGAAATAACACAAAGATAAGCAATGTTGCTGGTAATAGACTTGTTTGTTGCTGAGATAACTAAACAAAAACTCTCTCCTGAGAAGATGTCAATGCTTAGGCTAAAAATATTTTCTTTCTTTGCTGGATACACTGATTTCAGGCACTTATATCATCCAAATGAGTGCCTGGAGTTTTTTCAGTACAAAAAGCACAGCATTAAATAAAAGTTTTACTCTGTCTGGATAATACCCAGAGAGAGAACTGAAGATGAAGATGGAAATAGAGTTAATTCTCAAGAGTGATGGGGAGCAGTGGCTTAGCCTGCCACTGCAGTTAACACAAGTAATTGGGTTTGTGGACCAGGGAGAGTCTGTGCTATGTTTTATTTCATGACAATAGTTTTTACTTACTCAGAATCATTCCAAATCTAATGCTGAGATTTGACTTTAAATGTCTGGAACACTGGTCAACAGAAAAGCCAAAATCTTGTAATGGATCTGCCAAGAAAAAAACAACAGATTAGGTGTGACTACACTGTCTACTCTGCAAACTCATATTCAAAATTCACAACAATTATATTATTTTTATTTTTTCCATGTGAATCACTATAATTGACTCAAAAACATACTGCCCAATACTTTTTTGCATAGGGCCCATGATACTCTCAACAGCCCTTCCCAGTCTCTGCAAAGTCAACGCTGAGCAATGTCATGTTCAGTCTGTAAAATGGGCACAATGTCTTGATATGTGGGTTACATCTTCACTTGTTAAATTGTAATAATTGTTTGAATCTTTTTATTCCTGAGCTTAGATTTAAAATTCCTCATTGATTGCACAAAACATTTCACAAAGTATTTATTACTATAATTAAAACAGAGGGAAATATATGTATATTCTCTAAATTATGACCTGACTTTAAAATTCCATCTCATTCCATTCCATCCTATTCAAAGAATATTTTTATTCCAAATATTTCACTCTGTGTAAGGTATTGTGTTAGATAGGATAAGGACTACAAAGGTAATTTTTTACACATAATTTCTACTTATTCAAAAAATTCCAAAAGCTCATCTTCACCTTCAAAGAGAGTCAGGAAACATTCTGCTGGCCCCACCTCCCATCCTCTATATTACAAACCCACCCTCCATTCCCTGAGATCAGGCTGCAGTGTCAGAGCACAGGAAGTTCCCACTGTGTTTGAGGTGCGCATGTGCTTTCTCCCATTCATTATGGCCCCGCCACTTTGGGCCATTGTTGAAATACTAAGATGGTGCTCTTTCCCATCTTCTTTGTGAAGGTTTCCCTGATAGTCCTCAAAGTATTTGTTTGCTTCTCTGAATTCTTAAAACAATTATGTCTGAAATATTTTTTAAAGTGTATATGTATGACTTGGTACTTTGCTCTTTGACTTATCCCTTAATCTAAACACGGAACTTATGAAAGGCAGGAGCTGGTGTTCTGTTGGTTTTCCATTTCTTTTTCCTTTGTGTTTCCCATTGGGCCCAAGAGAGGAGAGCTGGGTCTACATTGCACTAGTCACCGAGCTGTGCACTTTATTTAAAGGAGTTTTCTATTTAATTCTTCAGACTCCCCAGTGTCTAGCAGAGTGCCTCACAGTCCAACACACAGTAAGCCCTCCATAAATGCACACAGGATGAATGAGCCATGCATTAAGCTATTGTGTCTCAGCTCCAAACCCAACTTGCATACTTGTTAATACTCAAGAGTGTCAAACGGTGATGACCTATTACCCTGGCAGTGGCAATTGATTTCAGTGGCTCTCATTTGCACCTTCCAGAATCAGCAAAGGCTCAGCTTTATGGGCCCCTAAGCTCCTGTGATGACAGTACCTCAGAAGTTGTCACCCCTTCCCTGGCAGTCTTTGTTCCATCTCCATAGAACTTTTTTTTCAAGCTTCTGGGTTCTAACAGCTCCAACCTCTCCTCTCTGCTCTCCCAGCCTTGGTGGTGGTCACCGCTTCCTCACTATCCCTATTTTGCATTTTGGTTCTTTAACAACTGCTTAACCAATTCCCTATATTAAATTCTCTTTGTTAAAATAACTGACATGGTCCTGTATTCCTGACCAGACCCAGACTGCTACAATAAATAACGATATTTTTTATATGTTCTAGGTAGAACTTTTTAAGTTTAAATTGTATTCTATTGTTTATGCTATTACAGTTGTCCCAATTTTTCCCCCTTTGCCCTTCTCCACCCCACCCAGCCACACCCTCAGCAATCCCTCTATCATTGTCCATGTCTTTTGGGTCATGCATAGGTCCTTTAGCTACTCCATTTCCTATACTGTACTTTACATCCCCATGGCTATTCTGTAACAACTTATTTGTACCTAACCCATTAAAGTGAATGACCTTTTTTTGTTCATCCCTTTCATCCCCTCCCATCTGGCAACCGTCAAAACATTCTCTGTATCTCTGATTCTGTTTTAGCTCTGCTTTTTTGTTTATTTTGTTTTTTAGATTCAATTATTGATAGATATGTATTTATTGCCATTTTATTGTTCATATTTTTGATCTTCTTAAAGAAGACCCTTTAACATTTTACATAATACTGGTTTGGTGCTGATGAACTCCTTTAGCTTTTCTTGTCTGGGAAGCTATTTATCTGTCCTTTGATTCTAAGTGATAGCTTTACTGGATAGAGTAATCTGGGTGGTAGGTCCTTGTTTTTCATCACTTTAAATATTTCTTGCCAGTCCCTTCTAGCCTGCAAAGTTTCTTTTGAGAAATCAGCTGACAGTCTTACAGGATTTCCCTTGTAGGTTACTAACTGCTTTTCTTTTGCTGCTTTTAAAATTTGCTCTTTGTCTTTAACTTCTGGCACTAATTATGATGTGTCTTGATGTGGGCCTCCTTGGGTTCATCTTGTTTGGGACTCTCTGTGCTTCCTGGATTTGCATGTCTATGCCCTTCACCAAGTTAGAGAAGTTTTCAGTCATTATTTTTTCAAATAAATTTTCAATTTCTTGCTCTCTCTCTTCTACATTTGACACACTCATGATGCAATTATCAGTATGCTTGAAGTTGTCCCAGGAGCTCCTTACATTATCCTAATTTTGGGGGGATTCTTTTTTGTTCTTGCTGTTCTTATTGTTTTTTTCTTCCTTATATTCCAAATCACTGATTTGATTTTCAACTTTATCCACTCTACTGTTAATTCCCAGTAAATCATTCTTTATTTAAATTAGTGTAGCCTTCACTTCTGATTGGATCTTTTTTATGCTGTTGAAGTTCTTACTAAGTTCACTGAGAATCTTTATAACCAGTATTTTGAACTCTTCATCTAGTAGATTGCTTATCTCCATTTTGCATTTTCATTTAGTTTTTTTTTCTAGAGTTTTGTTCTGTTCTTTCATTTGGGCCATGTTTCTTTGTCTCCTCATTTTGACAGACTTCTTGTGTTTGTTTCTATGTATCGGGTAGAGCTGCTTCATCCCCCAGTCTTGAAAGAGTGGTCTAACATAGTAGGTGTCCTATAGATTCCAACAGCACAACCTCCCCTATCATCCAAGCTGGGTACTCAAGGTGTGCCTATCATATAGGTTGTGTACAGCCCCCTCTTATGGTTGAGCCTTGATTGCTGTTGGCGCATCCAAGCTTAGCCACAACCTATGTTCTGTCCAAGGTCACTAGGCATAAGGTACCAAGTGATCTGAAGATGACTGCTGCTTATGCTGGGCTTGGAGGAGCTCGGGAGAGGCTAAGCTGTGAACCAAGGCTGGCTGCTGCTAGTGCCAAGCCTGGGACCACTTAGCAAGAGATGTGGGGCACACTAAAACTAGATGCTGCTGGTTTGAGAGAATTTAGGAAAACCTGAAGTATGAACCAAGACAGGTCATTTATATGTAAAAGCCACCACAAACAGCTTGGGTGGGCCCAAAAGTTGGGTGGGGTGGGACCTCAGGGAATCACCAAGATGGGGCAACAGTGTGAGCTAAGTTGATGGAGTCTCAGATATGGTGTTCTCCTGCTGGCTCTGTTGGAAGAGGACTCTGTAAAAAGAACAATGGCCTTCGACATCACTTCTGTCTGGGAGAAAGCTGCCCCCTCAGCTCTCACCCCGATGCTGGACAACTCAGTTCCTTCCCATGTCTCTGGTGCCTTTCAAGCTGCTGCCCTCACACTGAAGCTCAAAGGGTTGTCCAAGTAAGTCCATGGGCAGGTCCTATAAGAGTAATTGCCTGGGACCCCAGAAGTTTCTTCCATCCACAGCCTCAATCCTTACTGGTTTTCACAACCAGAATTTATTAGGACTTACCTTCCTGGCCCTGGGACCCTTGTCTGGGGGACCTAGTGTGGAGCTGGAATCCCTTGCTCCTGAGATATCCCTCCTGATTTTTACCTGCCACACATATGTGTGGGACCAGTTCATTCTGTGTCTCCAACCAGTCTCATGTGGTTTCTTCTTTATTTCCACAGTTGTAGGAATTACATTCAGCTCAATTTCTGGTGGTTCTGAATGATGGTTGTTAAGCAGTTTAGTTGTAATTTTGATATTACAACTAGGAGGTGAGGAGGCGAGCTGTGTTTACCAACACTGCCATCTTGCCTGGACTTGTCAATAAATAATGGTCTTGAGAGATAGGTACAATTTTCCCCATTTCAAAGATAGGAAAATATAAACTCAGAGAGGTGGTATTAATTTGCAGAGTCAAGATCAAAACCAGACTTAAAAACAAACACAGAAACAATTGCCACCTAGTTTTGTGCAGAAACATTCACAAAATAGATCCTCAAAGATGTGTGTTAATTATTTGATTTGCAAGAATGCCTAGAATATTTTGTGTGCAGGCCTAAGGCATCTGGTAGTTCTCTTTCATAACTGGTTTCAATTTCTGCTGAGCTATGAGCTCACATTTGTCAATGATAGTCATCCAGACAGTTTTATCACCCACATTGCTGACCTGGAAGATGCATAATTGTCTGTGGTTTCTGCCATGGAAATGATCACTAGGCAATTTCAGCCTTGCAAATCTAATCTAGTGCAGTTTTGTTTGATCAAACCCCCTTTAATCTGGTCACTAACTTTTCTGGGGGGAAAAGCCATTTTGTCATATGCTCATTTTACTTCTTCATAAGCATATTTGTGCTGTCCCACAGCTCCCTTCAGCTTGAAAAATAGGAAGAAAGGGTAAAAATACAATTGTTTCTGTTACATACTTGGCACTCATTATTGAAGAAGAAAGTCCAACTAACAGACATTTAGGAAAGCACATCTCAAAATTGTGAATATGTTTTGGTTGCTATCTGAGGAAAGATAAAAGAAGCAAAGTGTGTAATGCTTAGCTATTTAGCATTTATAGAATTATACTGTATGTTTATCAATATTTAAAGGTAGAGATAGAGAGAATAACTAAGGGCAAAAGAAGGAAATAAGACATCTTTTGAATCTGGAAAAATATTGTTAGAAAAATAACCTTAATAAGGAACAAAGTCACAAAGAAAGAGATAGATAGGTTGCTTCTTTCTGAAGAT